CTAGATCCACGCTGCTCAGCACATTCCCATTGCACAGTCCTGAAAAATACAAAGGAGGACAGGGTGAGCCAGTGGCCATTTCCACCTGCCCGTTTCCCTTTGCTAAAACAGTGAGGAGATTCTTTCTTCTGCTTTGTGTGCAAAGCTCCACAGGTTGCTCTGCAGGGTGCAGGGCAGACACTAAAGTGTGCTCCCTCTTCTATGGAGGCTGCTCAGCCATGTTAATGCTCAGCTCAATTTGCTCATTCAAGAACTAGGGGTACCAAGTGGCCCAAGCATCATGCTAAAAGAGCTCTCCTGCTTGCACGGAGCTGTTCTATGTGTCCATGCCCAGCATAGCAACTGGGCCTACAGACACACCATCAGGAAGAGGACCTACAGGATGGATGCTTTGAACAGTCACAGCTTCTACCAGCTCTTACTGTAGTCATAGAGACACTGCCCTTAGAGAAATCAGAATCAATTTAGGCACCTAATACTGGGATGTCTGTAAGTGAATTGGTTTTGAATTAATTGAGTAAAACAAGGCAGTGAAGCCCCATGTAACGTGTTGGTGTGGAACCGCTGCAGCCCTGGGGAGGGAACGACAATGCATATTTTACGCTGTGAATTTTTTATTAAGGGAGGGATTTTTCTGTTTTTTTATTATTGAATATGAATATTTTACACGTCCAAGTTCAGAACAATGCTTTTTTTGGCTGCCTCTGCACTTTTCATGGTTGTGTACCCTTGCATTGCATAACTGAGAGAGATCCATTTACACACAGGGGGAAAGGGGACTAATGAATCTCAGCAAAGCCAACTTTACTGTGTGTGAAAAAAAGCACTCTGAAGTTTTCCAAATAAAAAAATATATATACATATATAAAATACTTGTATGGAATGGCTTAATAAAATCAGTGTGTGTGTGTGGGTGCATGTGTTCCTGGGGGCATGTGGATAATGACTACAGAGCTACACCTTATACCACCTCTGCTGGGAAAAGCTCTGGAATGTTCTTACTCCTTCACATCAAACCCCTCACATTCAGGTACTCACCTGGATGTTTCCAAAGTTGGAGAAATGGAGGTGTGCCTGCCCGTTGCTCTGTCAATGAACTGATGGAGCTGCCCACACCCACCTGCAGGGCTGGTATTTGCCTTTGGTAGCACCATTACCCTTTCTGGCTACTTCCAAATGTCTGCAGAGCTTGTTTTCTCACCCACCTCTGCAGGCTGCCTTCAGCAGGCTCTCAGACTTACAAGTGGAAGGTGTCCCTGTCCATGGCACAGGGCTGGAGCTAGATGGTCTTTAAGGTCCCTTCCAACCCAAACCATTCTGATTCTCAGGCATTCCAGGTTGGTTCTCTGGGTCTTTTGAGATTACTTCTGCTCTGTACAGCCACATTAATGAGAATCTTTAACAACCCCCACGCTCATCAAGCAGCTCTTGGCTTTGTCAGTGGCCAAATGCATGCACTGATCTGCTGGCATCACTTCATTCTGACCGTGGATGGGGAAAAAATGCCTCCTTTACCTGGGCAGTTTGGGTCTGACCTTGCTTGCAGAGCCTGCCATGGCAAGACCACAAGTGCAGCACTTCTGTATCGTGGGGCCTCTGTGTGCCGTGCCCCGAGCATCGCCCCGCCTGGGGAAACAAAGGAGCTCATTTCCCTGCCTTCCCCCGTGCCCTGCTGCAAAGATGCACTTGGCACTCTCTATCCAGCTGCTTTCAGAACAAGCTGCCCATCACCACCCTCCTGGAGACCTGCGATCTGCAAGGCAGGGGTGAGGGCACCTTCTGCAGCAAGTGTGCTCACACAGCTCAGCAGGACGAGGGCAGGGGCCAGGAGATCTGAATAATAAAGGTAATAATTATTTGCCAAGTGTATATTTGAACCCGGCCTTTTTATTGTGCACATGATAACAAGGAGGAGAGGGAGAAAGCAAGAGCTCTTGTACAGTTCTTGAGAGCCTGCAACCAAAAATGGGCAGGGTGACAAGCAGCACATTGTTTTGGGTAATCAGTGTGCATTGTCGCAGGCTGACATGACTGCATACCAATAAAACCCTGAAATTCACAGGGAATGGGCAAAGTGCAAATGATGAATTGTCTGACATTTAACAGAAAATAAAGAGCTGCTGCTGGATTGAAACTTAAAAGAGACTTGGGGAGGGAGGAATGAAATTACCAGGAAGTGCTGGTTTTGGCTGGGATAGAGTTAATTTTTTACATGGCTGGTATGGGGCTGTGATTTGGATTTGTGCTGAAAACATAGGGATGCTTCCGTTATCCCTGAGCAGTGCTTATACCGACTTAAGGCCTTTTCTACTCCTCAACTCACCCCACCAGCAGGTAGGCCGGGGTGGAGGGGACACAAGGAGTTTTAATTCCAGAACTAACCACTGGTAAATCCAGGAATTAACTCAGGCCCTGCAGCCAGTCCTATATTCACCAAACAAGTATTACTTTCTTGAGGCTCGAAAGATCCCAGGCATTTACAATTTAAATCCTCTTTATCCACAGGACAGGTAGAGCATAGGGGGAAATACATCAGGTGAAAGATCACTGCAATTCATATTCCATGGCATGAAGGCCAAGGGAATAAGGTCTCAAATGATGAAGACCTCAGAACTCTTCAAAGTGAAAATGAAATACAAATGGAGTAATGAATTTCCAGCTCCCTGTGCAGCAATGGAAATACAAGGTGACCAAGAGACTGAAGAGGCTGATTAAAGTCTACAGTCATGGAACATGTGCCAACTTCTGCTATCTTGTTGCGTGTCCTTGAGCAAAGTCATGCCTAAGAGGTAAATGGGAACAGCCAGGCCAAACCAGCACCGTGGGTGTTACATACCTTTAATAATGGGTTGTTGAATGATTTTCATCTGGGAGGAGCTGAACCAGGTCCTGTGATGTAAAACAAGTTTGGTATCACTGAACCCATCCTGGAGTACATCAGGCAATATCTTGCTCTGCAAGGGTGACATCTCATTAAAGCACACAGAGAGCTCTGCTAGGTGTCACTCTCCGAACAGGTTTTGTCTCTGCATCTGGCTTTGCAGTTATCCTGCCCTTTGCTTCTCTTTCCTCCTCCCTGACACCACCCCCAAGTTGCAGTGTTCACTCAGGTCCCCTCTGCTTTCCAGCACTCTGGCTTTTGCATTGTTATTTGCATTAGATTATTGGAGCAGGAGTCTAAACACTGAAGTTACTGCAGATCCCTCCTCAGATGGAAGTCAGTGAGCTGTGAAGTATTTAAACTGTCTACAGTTGTACCTCGTTTGTTTACACATTTCCAGCAGGCTGCTAAAAGGTAACACACTGTAACAGAGGAAAGATCCAACACTGCTGAGTCTGATTTCATAACAGCTCAAAAGTGCTCTGAACACTTGCTTTAACTCAATGGGGTAACGCAGAGCTCAACCTTCTGAAGCCTTAGGGCCCAAATGGAGCAGGAAAGCTGCGTGCTTTTCTCCAGGCTCCTTGCTTTATGCTTTCACTCTGGTCACTGGGAAAAGCAGGGTAGGTGGGTCTCAGTGCGGTCACCCACAAACCATCCCCTGCTCCCCCTGTCCTCTGTATCCAGGTCTTTCAGCCCATTTTTCCACTTGCCTGCTGAGGAAGTGCTCCAGGGCTCGGGGGACAACTGAACAGGGAGGTAGATGTGGCTCCCTTGTAAATGTCGTGTAGAGAAGGAAGAGTTTGTTGTGATTCCTCAAAGGGCAGCGAGAGGAGGTGGCAGAGGACTGATCAGTCCCAAGGCAGCAGAGGGCATCAATGAGTTTGAAGATTCATCTCCGGAGCTGCATGAAAATAGCCAGACACTGTACTGAATTAACAGGAGAGATTGCAGCTCTCTTCCCTGTTTTCATGTTAGTCTTGGGCAAATCCAACAATACACAATGATATTCAACAATGTATCAATCATAGTGCTAATCAGTTTCACAAATGACGAGATTTCTACCCCCTGCCTGGATGCAGTGCAGGTATTTGCAGGTGTGGATAAAGATGATCTCTGCAAATGCATCGTTTTCAAGTAGTTTCTTTGAGTGCAAATTTCAGTGCTGAAAATTCACACCTTTGTTATGAATTCCGTAGGTCCCTTTGGAAACCAAACCCGTCAGCCACGATATTTATGACAGTTAAGCTTATTTGGCGTAGTTATTTATAAATACTGAGCCCAGCAATGCAGATTTGCTTAGTAATTCAAGCAAACACTTGCAGGACTGTCACTCTCCCTGGCTCTCAGTGACAAGGTAGAGGAATAACTCTTAAAACACTCAGCTTTTCCCTAAGAGAACCAGTGTCAGGTAGGGACCAATGCCTCCACCTTCTCTTAGATGTCCGACATCAAAATGTTCCTTCAGAAGTCCCCTACAGATAAACTCAAATAGGTACCTTTCACCTTGGGCTCTCTGATTAACTTACTAATTTCAATTAACGTTATACTAAGTTGTGTAAATGCAGTCTCACATAGTCCTTATGCTAGAATATTAGGGAAACCTCACAGGTGGACAATGTTACATGTGACATGACACAGCAAATCACATGGCCAGTAATAGCACAGAGCTTCTAGGTCTAAGAGCTCTACTTTAACAGCCAAATCAACTTAGAGAATCACAGAGCTTATCTTCACTTCATGAGCAAACCCAAACGTAGAAATTGAGGCCCCTCTGCTCTTCCAGGGCTGCTACAGGAGATCTCCAGCACGATGGTGAAGGGTCAGCAATACCCTCGAGCCCTCTGTTTCTCCATCAGAGGTCTCTTTGCACTCCCTGGATGTTTATGGTGCATGGCAAGGAGCCAGCCCCACGGGCAGGGAATGGAGGTGGCTTGTTCTCAAGTGTTTAAAAGTCTGACAAACTGTTTGCAGCTCTAGCAGGGATCAACACGTTTCCAGAATTAAACCCCAACATTTTTGGATAGCAAAAGGGCTCTGAACAAGGGCTCTTTTTCCCACCCAATGCACAAGAGACCTTTCTTTAGTAAGCTATGAAGTCACGTACTATAAATCAATTATTTTTGTACTGATTTATTACCTGCTCTGCAGCAGTTCAGATTGGCACTCAAAAACAAACCCTGGATGGTTGCTCCTTGAATGTTCAGAAGCATTTTCTCTGGAGTACTGTGGCTCCAACCTCGTAATAGTCTTCCTTGGTAACCCACATGTTCCTAAATGCTCTTAAGCTGGCCAGGATGGAAGCACCAACCCACACGGAATACACCCGATCTTGTGGTGAAATGATCTTGACACGAGCTGGGCTGGGAACTCCTGCCTGGAGCTCCTTCCAGAGCCTCTCCTTGAAGCCTTGGAACAGAGTCGATCCACCCGACAGCAGCACGTTCCTCTGGATGCTGGGCTGGATGTCGCTGTGGCACTTGGAGCAGCTCTGGAGGACCATCACCCCAACCCCTGGCCCTGTGATTTCTGCCTCCGCAGGCACAAAGAGCGCTTCGGGAGCTCGGAATAGCTGGTCTCCTGCCTCAACAGCCCTCCCGTCAGGGAGAACGTACCTGCGCAGGAGTTTTGCAGGCTCCGCATGCATCTTCTGGCTGGGATCTAACACAACATAACACAGCTTCTCCTTAATATCCCTGACAATCTCTCTCTCTGCTGTGCTTACGAAGGAGTTCCCAGTCTCCAAGAGGAGCCTTGTGAGGTATTTGGTTACACCTCTGCCTGCAAAATCCAGCCTGGTGGTGCTATGGAGCAGGTAATGGCCTTCGTAGACAGGGACGGTGACGGTGACACCATCGCCACTGTCCAGCACCAGTCCCGTGGTGCGGGCAGAGGCGTACAGGGCCATCAGTGCCGCCAGGGTCACAAACAAGGCAGGCACCTGGAGGCTCTCGAACATCATCTCAGCCATTTTCTCTCGATGGGACAAAGGGTTGAGAGGGGCCTCGGTCAGCAGCACCGGCATCTCGCTCGGTTTCAGTTTGAGCTCCTGTTCGTACAGGTACCTCCAAATCTTCTCCATGTCATCCCAGGATGTAACCAACCCATTTTCCATTGGGTAAGTAAAAGACAAAACGCCCCTTTTGAACTGGGCTTCCTCCCCAATATACCGGTCCTTACGACTTGCCCCAAACATGACAGGTTTGAATTTGGGGTACCCCACAACAGTGAAAATAACCGAGCGGGGAACCTGTTCCCACGACAGACCAGCCTTACACTGCCCAGACCCTATGTCAAAAATCACCGCACGGCTCCCTGCCATCACAGAGTCAGGTGTCCTGTGCAGGACAGGTGCTGTCCTGGCCAGTGGCTACTGGCAGAGAACATTCTAGATCCCCCAGCCTAGAGGTACCACCCCACCGAGCTCACAATCACTGTAGCTGCACCGGCAACACCACTTCCTCTGGGGAGCATTTTGATTCAGTATGAAACTGGGTGTTCCTGCTTCCCAGACAAATTAAGGCAGAGAATCAATGGATTTATTCAGACCCCCAGGCACAGAGGAGGGCCGGTTACAGTAATTGCATTTGCATTGATTTATATTTGGATTCTGTTTAGGGTTTTGCTGGGTTTCTAAAGGAAACGTTTTCAATGAGGTAAAAAATAACGTGAGAGCCAGTTTTAGAACAGAAACCCCAGGTACCTCGAAGACCTCAGAGGGAAGATCTCCCAGCAGAGGAGGTATGCTACTCCTCACGTGCCTCCAAGGCAGGCTGCGAGTCCATTAGGGAGTAACTGCATCCCTGTGATATGCGTGCACCTGTAACCTCTGCCCAGGGGAAGGGGGATGATAAACACTAAAATCCTCATTGCTTAAGCTTTTAATGTTTGATTTTCACACAGAGTGCGTCAGCCAGTGAACACACAAACGGCTGCAGCCCCTTTCAGGTCACTGAGCTCTCAGCAGGGCTCCTTGCTCATGTGTTGCTGTAGCAAGCCCTTCACTTGATGGTCTCCTTAAAAGCACTTGCGGTGAATGACAGCAGCCCCAAATTCCCTGTAATTGTTCACGGTGACCCACATTTGTCGGAACGACGTCAGGCAGGTGAGGATGGAGGCCCCAATCCACACGCAGTACTTCCTCTCAGGGGGTGCGATGATCCTCACAAACATGCCAGAAGGCACTTGCAGCTTCATCTCCTTCAGGATCCGTTCCTCCAGGCCAGGGAAGAGCGTGGACCCCCCTGAGAGGAGGATATTGCCATAAAGACTCCTGCGCACGTCGATGTCGCACGTCATGATGCTGTTGAAGATCATTTTGTGCACGCCGGGAGCTTCCACTCCAATGTTTGCAGGCATGAAAAGGGTCTCTGGTGCACGGAAGCGCTGGGTGCCTATCTGGATGATAGTGTTGTCAGGCAGTCTGTACTCCCTCATGAGCTCTTCTGGCTTTGCTTTCATCTCTTGGACGGGGTCTAAAGCTACGTAGCACAACTTCTCTTTGATGTCTCTGACAATCTCCCTTTCAGCCGTGCTGACAAAAGTGTGTCCGCTCTCCAAAAGCAGCTTCATAAAGTATTTGGTGATATCCCGGCCAGCAATATCCAGCCTGGAGACAGCATGGGGTAAACAGTATCCTTCATATATGGGGACAGTGTGGGTGACACCATCTCCGCTGTCCACGACCATCCCAGTGACACGGGCTGATGCATAGAGTGCCAGGGTCGCCTGGACTGCAATGTACATGGCCGGTACCTTGAAGCTTTCAAACATGATCTCTGTCATTTTCTCCCTGTTCTGCAGAGGATTGAGGGGGGCTTCAGTCAGCAGCACTGGCCTTTCACAGGGCTTGATTCTCAGCTCGTACTCATACACATGTCTCCAGATCCTTTCCATATCATCCCAGGACGTAACTATGCCATGGTCAATTGGATAATTCAAAGACAGGACCCCCCGTTTGGACTGAGCTTCTTCTCCAATGTAACATTCTTTCTGCCCAGCTCCCAGCATTGTAGCTTTGACTTTAGAGCGCCCAACAATCGCTGTAAAAACAGACCTTGGGCCGCTGTCCCCTGCGATACCTGCTTTGAACAGCCCAGACCCATTGTCAAAGATTACAGCCGGAACATCCAAAACGCTGGGGTCAAACATTCTTCGCAGAGCTCTCTTTGTCCATTCCCCTTTTACAGGCTGGTGCACCCATTGCTAGAGACACCCTCTCAGGGCTGCACAACGTGCTGTTTCCAACACCCCTCCACCTCACAGTGCCTCGTGATGCAATAATACATTTCCCCTGACACTGCCTATGGCCAGAGCAGCTTTACCACGATTCCAGCCACGACCATCAATTCACTGACTCTCATCCATGTCATGCCCTATGAATGTATCCCTGCAATGAGCCCGAGAGCATTTTTTCCTTGGAATAGAAGAACATGTATTGCAAATACCTGCATGACAATAATTAAACCTTTCATAGTGCCCCTGGCTTAGCTAAGACTCTACAAACATTTCCAAGGGTTGGTGAAGATGAGGACAACTGTGCCTCCTGTAAGCATTAACTGAATTACCAGTTTGCTTTTGTGAAGAACATCTGCACTGGAAGCAGACCTTGTTCAACCGAATCCTTTCTGATCCTTTAAAGGGAACTCCCAAGAGACTTTTAAATCATTAGAACTAGTTTGCCTCTCCTTATGGCATTCTGGCATCTTTCCCCCATCCTTCTTACTTCATTTAAAGACTATTTTTTGATGGAATCACACAAGTGAAATAATTTCTGTTTCTTGGTGGTTTGAAAAACCCCAGCAGCTTTGAACAATGCTTATGGTACCTTCTAGTGCAAAGAAATCCCTTCCTGTAATGAATCTATATCCTAGGCTGCTGACAAGCTGACCTGCCTGCAAATAAACAGACATGCAGATGTCTTCCTTCCCTGCTTTCCTTTTCCATTCAGCACTTTGCTGAGAAGAACAAACTGGTTTTTGGAAGTTAGTGCAAAAGGATTACAAATATCCTGGATCTTTACAACTGATCCCCTTTCCCATCTAATTGCTTGTTGGTGTTTTATAACTTTGCTTCAGGAGACTTCCCAAAGAAGGAAATTTCTGCAGCTCTGAATCCGATGGGATCTGACAATCCAAATCCCTCTACTGAGAAAATTCCCTTATAAAAAAAATAAATAAATCCCTACAGAAGTTCAGTTGAATCCTTGGCTGCCAGAGTTTAATTGCTTCTCCTTGTGGCTTTAAATCCAGGGCAGCTTCAAAGCAAGGGTGGCTTCTATTAAACTTAATTACTTTTTCCTGCAGCTCGCATGGCAGAGGTGCCAGCTACTAAATGAAAGTGAGTTTGAATCGGAGGCAGATTCCAAACAAAGACAGATATTAAGGAGAAATTTGAAATGTAAGCAAATGATCTCCTTGTACAGAGATGGTTCTGCCCCTAATGAACTCCGAAATAAGAAAGCCAAGGGATCAGCTCTGTGCAAGTCCTTTCCATTCTGCTTCGGTTCCAGACACGTTTGGGTTAAATTCCACTCTATCCATTTTAGCAATTTCTCTAATCCTCTTAATATTTGTGTACGTATATTTCAGTGTGTGGCACACTTGTTTTCATGCATGCTTCTATATTAATGTCAACAGGTGTCCCAATCATTTAAGAGGTTGTTATATGCATCACACTAGAAGCCCTATTTAATCCTGCGTGGTCTGCATGCGGCTGACAGCGAAGCACTCCCTTTTGAACACAGTGTTGAGCATTAGAACAAGGGAATATTGACTGGGATGATTAAATGGCAGTTGAAACCAGAGGCAGGAATGTCTATCTGTTCCCTCAGATTGCTTCTGTCATAAATCACCTTAAAAAGGGCATGTGTGAATTAATTTTGCTCCTGCAGGGTTTGTAATAAGTGAAATTACTGGTGGTGTTTTGCTGTAAAGTGAATTTATAGAAGAGACAATGTGAGATATCAGAAACTTCGCTTGCTCACCTGGTGGAACAGCTTGTGCTGATGGGACAGGATCTCATTCAGGAATGGCCAGAGAGCTCCTTTTCTGGGAACCAGTCTGTCTTTGGCCTTTGATGTCTGCCAGGGGCTGCCAGCTGTGGGGAGACACAGGAGGAATCAAACTGAGACAAGGAAATTCATTCCATGCAAAACAGTCTGCTAATGTCTTGACTGGTGGATGGTATCCACTGTCATCTCTGAATGGGATTGCATTATAAACTTGAAGCTGAGAGGCACACTGGAACACAGTAATAACACAGTTCCCACAACATACCAATCATAAATGCGCTCTGTCCCACAGACACTGGATTGTAAAAGTTCACAGGTATTTAAACATGCTCTTTATAGGCCAGGCTTGCTTCATGTCAGTGCTGAGCACACATTCTCACCAGGTAACACACGTCTCTTTGCACAGAGCGATTCCCCAGGAGAGGCAGGGCTTGTCCTTTCTCCATAGCCATCCTCTGTCCAAACACTTCTGGAGATGAACATGTAACTCAGGGCAAATTGAATAAAGGAGGCCGGGAAAGCACCAAGAAAAGGGTGATGAGCTTTGGAAGGTCTGAGTTTACCTGGGATAAAAACAGAGGGAAAAGAACTCATGTTACCTGTTGGCTCTCTGACAGTGCCTCTGTCAACAGGATGACCAACACAGCTTTCCAAGTGGCTTTTAAGGAGGAAATTTTGATTGTTTGATGTAAAGCAATGCATTAAATCCATCAAAAAGGTGAAAACAAGAAAAACCAAGAGGCTGGCATGTGGAATCTTGAGGCAGAGTCATGTAAACAGAACTCTGCTGCCTTTTTACGTACAGAAGTTATACAGCACTTTCTGGGATATCCCAGAAACAAAGCAACGGATTTATTAAAGTGCTAAAGCTTAAGTTTTAGAAGTCTGTGCTTTTACAGCTGAAAGATCACAGTTAGAGACCCATTTCCCTGGAGCACGCACGTGATTTGTGTAACAAATAGGGGTGCATTTATGGAGTGAATCCAAATGCACCAGGAAGAAATATTACAAGAGAAGAAGTGAGGAAAAGAAGTTATTTCAACCCAGTGGAAGTCTGATTGAGGAAGGACAGAATACACCACTGAAACTCTATGTGGGGAAGACAGAAGGGAGGCAGCTCAGCCTCTTCCGTACCCCTGGAACAGCAGCTCACAGAGCATGGAAGACTCAAGCACATCAAATACTGCGGTGATGACAGATGCCTTTATCCAGTCAGGCCGTCAGCACAGGAGGACAACACGTCCTCTGTGCCACAAGTCATCCTGGGACAGATACAGAATGAGTTTATTATTCCAATGGAGACGGGGCCTGGAAATCAGCCGGGCTTTCCCAGGGACTGCGGAAACAAACAGCAAAGGGCAGGCCCTGCTCCAAAGAATTCTGTCTGGGAAGCAAGACCTAACAGGTGGGTGAGACAAGGTCAGGGTGGGAGGCAAGGGAGACAGCGTGAAAGAAATCAGGGGCTGAGAGCAGTTCTTAGCAGTAAGAAGCAATAATCACCATCACAGATGCTTAGCTCTAACAACTTGACAAGATCCCTTTCTTCACATAGGAGCTGTGCTTGATTGCTCCCATACTTGTTTCCACCTAAAATCCCCATTTTGCAACGTCTTCGTGACACTCCAAACATCCACAAAGCTCTTTGAAGTTGACTTTTAATGCATTTATTGACACCAGTTATGATATTTCAAAACACATGGGCTACAAATTGTTACCAT